TCGGAAGACTCAAGGAGGAAAAATGAAAGAGCACCTATGACCTAAAAAAACCCCAAACCCAAATAATCACCTCGTAGTTATTTTTTAAATTATATACTTCAGAAATAAGATATATATTCCATTAAGAGTACAGTGGTGTCTTGCTTTTAAGTATGCTTTGAATATAAGATGTACTACTATTGTTTTTATGAGATTTATTTTAATTATGGAATATATGAATCTTTTAATATTTCCTTTTCTATTACGATACATGCATTTCAAAAGCAATCATTACAATAGAATCTAGGCAGTCATTGTGAAATCTAATCAGTATGCAGTACAAGAAATGTGTATTTTTCAAGTAGTTCTACAGCCATATAAATTACTGTCAGCAATTGTATATATTTCTGCACTAAAATTTCTTTGCAATGACATGTTTTCTGGATTCCTTATGGCAAGGGACTGTAAATAAGCTGAAAGGGAGCTCTTCCATCTCCTCTTCAACAAAGAATACCTTGTGCTACAGTGACCCCATTTCTTTTTTAAGAACATTCACTTCTGTGAAGGAAGAGAGAAGAGGATGAAAGCAGCAGATACCATTGATGTGTACAGTGTGCATAACTGTTTTCAGTTATTAAAAATGATAAGATCCTTGTAGTCAGGAGCTTATAATCTAACATAAACAGATAGACTGTAAAATGAGAAATGAAAACAGACCAAGAGGGAGTTATGAGGCAAAGAGACAGGGAAGGAACAGAAGAGGAGATAGGAAACTGCTGCTGGAGAGACTCCTGGGACCTGGCATCAGCCCAAATCTCTCCTGAGGCCTCATCACATAAACGTGTGGCCTTTTCCTTCTCCTCCATGTCTTTGGAGGAAATCTGGATTGCAGTCACCAGTGACCACAGCCCATCGACCTACACTGACCACGCCACGAAAGTTACTGGAAGCAGTTTAACTGCACCCAGCAGAGGATTTGAAAAAAAACCAAACCCTTGGTTAGGGCTGACAGGGGATGACAAGACAAAGCTCATACCAGTGAGACAATGCTTAAAAAAATCTCGAAACCACTGCCTTAGTAACACATTCACCCTAACTGCATTTATATTTGGCCTGGTATCCAGCCTTGCGGTTCAAATATCTAATAGTGCATCACAAAGGAATACAGAGCCTGAGAAGACTTGTTCTCCCGGCCTTTGTAAGCTTACAGGTATATGACACTGATTTCAAGCAAGCAGTCGTAAATGCTAGTTTAAAATTTTAATGTGACAACAGAATAAAATTGTTAGCAGCTGCTGTAAAATGCTAAACATGAACACTTAGACATTGCTTCTCTTATTTTTCTACCAGGATTAAATTGGGGTTGTATTTTCTTTTGTGGGAGTTAATAGCATCATAAACCTCAAAGTGTGAAGGAAGGAAGTTCTGAACTTCACTTTATGTATACACGCAATGATGTCAAACATCCAAAAAGAAAAAAGGGAAACACTGTTCCCAGCTAGTAAGAAACACTCTTGCCATTTTTCTTAAAAATACACTTTGCTTTTCAATACTTTTTCTGCTTAAGCAAAGAACAGAAATACTGCCATGGAGTGCATTTAAAGTATTTAAAGTAACGAATTGAAAACTCCTGTTTTTTAAAGATAGCAACAAATAAACCGGTATACACTCGAGGAAAAAAAGACAAGTTTGCCTGTTTTCAATTCTTGGCTTATTTGCTGGATTAAAGAATCTTCTCTTCTCCTTCCTAGAAATGTAATGATGTGCTCACAAAAAGCAATGGAACTGAATAATAGAAAATCCACATAATGCATATTTTCAGTAAGCAATCATTACTTCTGAAATGGAGACTAAAAATGAGAGGGTGATGCAAGTCCCAAAGAAAAACATACTCCTCCAGTGAGAGATTACCCTTGGAAATCTGACATCACCACAAAATAAGAATAATAATCAGAAGGCTCTCAAAAAGGGGCCAATTTATTTGACAGTTTTGGCTGTATTCTCATTGCCAGAGGAATTACTTGTAAGTGGCAGGTGGTGAAAGACTGGGTGGAGCCCAGGGATGGTAATCACAACAGTAAGCAGATTTTAGCTCGACTGAGGAGCAAAATCACATTCCTCATTAAATGATGAGAAGTCCATTCTATGCTCAACAGGAATTATAGGCCCCTAATGGGCTGCTGCAATTGCCATGCACAAATAAAAAAACAATGATACATCCAGAAGGGTTTCCAAGACTGTCTCTCAAGAGTTTTAAAGTTTTTCAAATGACAGCACATAAAAACGATATGCACAAGCCAGCAACAGAATACACCAAGGTAAAAATAATCAGAGGAAGGCAATTACATCACACTGTAGTTTTTGTTCCAAACCAGAACTAAAACCAACTGGGATTGAAAGAGCATGATGATGCAATTATTCCAAATCTACATTTGTGGGTACTAGCCTATAACCATTTTTTAAAGAACATAAAGTTTTCACTTCCAATTGTTTAAAAAAATTCTTAGGAGCAGTGCTATATCACACACATGATTTTAAGGTTACTTAAACCAGAAGAAAAGATGAGCTCATTAAAAGAATAGTCACATTGTTTTTTGGTCACTCAAAGCAATTGCAGTATCTCTTAACCCTGCCACACCACAAATGACCTGAAAGTGTTTTCCAATTGACTAATATCTGCTAAAGAACTTTTAAAGAAAAAGAAAGACAAATCCAGGACGGATGACAAGAAGTATTTTTATTAATTATTGTCTTGTCCATACAATACAAACGCCAGGTAAAGTAAATGCACCTCTATGCTTGCATATCCATTATAAATGCATGTATACAAGTATGTCAGTATACATCTTCCAAGAAAGCCAAAAATCTCTGTCAGCATTTCAGCTCTACCTTGACCAAGGGGAGGGTGGGAGGGCGGAAATCCCATGTAACATCCTGAAACAAATTTGATTGGATTTATGGATTCTATTGATGCCCATCTCCAAACTATACATGAAAATCAGGTACTGAGAACAGATGTGCTTCAATCCAACCACAACCCAACACAAGCACACATATGCACATCCATGTGTGTGCACACACAGACACACAAGCACCATATTTGGTAACCACTGAGAGGTTTTCAAAGTGGATGTCTCAGCCTTAACCTTGCCTTTACGGTCATTTATTGCAAGGCTATATTAAATGAAATACATTCCTAATCCTATAATAGTATTTATGCTCTGAAAAATGTTCATGCTGCAGTTTTGTCCTACGTAAAAAAGACATTCTCTAACTCAGATATCACATGGTCCAATTTCAATGCATCTATGTTCTTAAAAATCTAAGCCTCCATATTCTGTTAGCAGTATGATACTTCGGGACTTTCT